AATTCTTGCCATTCAGCTAATGATTATTCACGTACGTGGCAGAGCAAAGTGGGTGGAACTCTCTTGGCTGCAGAAAAAGTATTAAAGGCTGCATCTGGTCCATAAGTTGCCTGTATCTGTTTGTTTGCTTGTTTATTAGATTTACATCCTGCCTTTCCTCCAGAAGCTCAAAGCAGCATGCACAGCATCCCTCCTCCGACTCCATCCCCTGCTCCCAACCTCCTGAAGTAGGCTGGGCTGAGAAACTAGAGTCACCCAGCGAACCTTCACGGCTGAGGATGGATGGCCCTGGTCTCTCTGGTCCTAGTCCAACACCTTAACCACTACACTGACACTGGATTTGTCAGATCTGCTTGCATATGGTTTCTACCTTGGGAACCTTCCAGACGCATGGACTTCAATTCCCATAATTTCTAAGCCGGATTTACCCTTGCTGAGAATCCTCAGGTTGGGGAAGGCTGTGGTAAAGAAGCTAAGAAAAGACAAATATAGTAGGAATATTGAAAGGCAAATGGGAAATGTGCTGCTGCAAAATGAAGCAACTTCTATCAGAGATACTACCAGGACAGGACTTCTGATCAAATGTGCAGGGCCCTGTAGAGCAGAATTCAGCAGGACTGGCTGCTCACATGTTTTAAAACGAAGTAAAACCCAGAATCTTATGCCTGGTCACCTGACTGCCCTTAGATATTCATAAGTCTGCCACAAAGAAAACAGGCACAAAGCTTAATACTATCTCATTATTTGGCCTATTTTCTTCTGAATATTAGCTATTGTCCCCAGTCTCACCCACATCCCAAGCATAGTTGCAAGCAGATGCTTGTCGACAGTGTAGAGTTTATTGGCGGTGGTGGGGGGCGTTATGGTAGTGTGATTCTCCAGCTGGAAGATTGTTTATTTAAACTGCAGACAAACCAGGATCCAGGTTTGTAATTGGGCTGGAGAGGAGGAGGAGGAGGAGCACAAGGAAGGATAGGAAACAATTATGTCATAGGCCAAACCAGCAGGCACAGAGTAACTGTATTGATTTTAACCAAGCAAGCTACTACCAGCAAGAGCTACCTTCTTGGTTATAGGCAAGCTCCTAAGAAGATGGCCACCATATAGAGGTGACAAGCATTGGTGGGGCCTCTGCCCTCTCTGTTTTCTCAGAAAACCTGCAAAGGGTGTGTTGCTAGTGCCAGTGTCATCAGCTGGGCTGTATAATGGATGCCCCCACCTCAGTTCATGTTTCCAGGGACCACCATGAGAAAAGAGGATGTGGAGGGAAGGAGGAGAGGGGAGGCTAGGTCATCCATAAAGGCTGCTTCTGTCCTTTATTGGCAAGGCTTAAAGTGCATAGGAGTAAAAGCAGAGTCCAAGGCAAAGTGAAAGGAGAGGGGCTGATGGCAAGGTTGAGCCCAGCCAGCTCCCTGAAGAAGGATATCCACCGAAAAAGGCCACTTGAGCTACACACAGAGAAAAAGAAGCAGAAAGGACAGAAGACTTGTTAGTGGCACTTGGCAAGGAGCAAGCCTTTAGGCTAAAGGAGACAGAGTACACAGCATGTCTGGCAGGAGAGAGAAGTCCAGAAACCCCAGCCACCATCCTCTAGCCATGGAACTGCCCGTGATCTATGGGAAACAACAGTAGAAGGAAAGCAAGCACCCTTGTCTCCACCTGCCATTCCCTTCTGGCAAATCACAATTGCTGAATAGCTGCTCAACAATGATTAGTAGTTTCCAGACCTGTGTCTGATATCAAATGTCTGATATCAATTTCCTCTGACCTGGAAAAATTATCTATCATTCTCCTCTGCCTAGCAAGGGTACAGAACAGGAAGTAATTCTACACTACCCTCTACAATAATTTGTGATTAGTTAAGGTGAACTTAGGGACCTCATTAGCTAATTTGCTTCTCACTCCAAACATTCCTTCATCTATGTACATAACAAAGACTTCCAGAGTTTCACTGCCTGACAGTTCCCTATCAATTTCATTAGCTGACATCGGGATGTAGCTCCAGCCGGTATTCCCTTCTGCCCGTGCTATCACTCACCAACACAAGCAGTGCCGTCCTCATTGGGTTCAAAGCCCCGGTCACAGCGCTTGTTGCTGCGGCAACGGTACCCACCATATGTGTTGATGCAGACGGGTCTGCCTCTTGGACACACAAAAGGAAATTCTGCACACTCATCCATGTCTGAGAAGAAGGGAAGCGAGAGAGAGAGAGAGAGAGAGAGAGCATGGAAAGTAATAAAAGACAGACTCAGTGCCAGCAGCCTCAGAAATCAGCCACATGGGTGCGTCTGGATACCAAAGAACTGTCGTTCTGCTCCATGGAACCCAGTTGCGGGAACCAAGAAATGACACCCCAGGAGCCTTTGCTGACCTTCTCTTGCCAGGTGACTCACCAACACAGCGCCCACTCTTGTGCTGAAAGAATCCTTGGCCACACTATGAGAGAAAAAGGGAAACGTATCATCAGCAGACCATTGGCTCTTAATCTCATTTCTGTCATACCTATTTTGAGGGTTTTATTCTGGAATTTGTGTGGTTACAGTTTCTGCCTCAGACCATGCACCATCTAACATTCAGCTCCCAATCTTGAGCTTTTTTTGTTATAGCATCACTTCTGAAAAGTATATACAGTGAAGCTTCTGTACAATTTATTTACAACCACAGAGAATGAAAATGAGCCAGACAAAATTGCCCTAAAACTGCAGAGCTGAAGGAGAACACACCCCATTACTGCTCCGGAGCCACTGGGAAATTGCATTCACAAATTTCTAGGAAGAAGATCACACCAAGCCTTTTCCGCTGGCTGGAGAAGGAGTAGCTGCAGTGAACTTCCTGCAAGAAAGAACACCACGCTCCCGCCGGTTTGGCCTGTGACGCTGCAACTACAGTTATCTTGGGCTGCCAAAGTGAGGAGAAGTTGTTGACCATTAGAAGAAGGAGCAGTGGCAGACGCAGGCTTTTGCTGCATTCATCAGAATAATAAAAGCAGCATCGCAGCATCATACAGCAAGCTCTGTCTGTTTAGGTTGTGTGTGTGACCACACAACACGTGTAGGAAAAAAGTGGGAGGCTTGCACTGCAGTACCGTGATGCTCCTTGCATTGCTCTGAGCCCCCTCGCCCTCCTGCCCCTCTTCAGCATTGCTGAGGAGCACTACTAAGTCAGCTGCAACTTCTCTATTCAAGAAAGACCACTAGCAAAGGGAGATCAGCTTGATCACAGCCGGATGTCAGTTCCTCTACCTTTCTCTTCCATTTCCCTTCTCTTGTGCATTATGTGTTTTACATTTATAAATCTGAAGGTGAGGCCTTTCATTTTCTTTACTGATGTGAGTTGCCTTGGGGGACAAACAAAAGGAGTAACATAATATAATGTAAAATAATGTAAAATAATGTAAAGTAAAAGTAATGTAAAGTAAAAGTAAAGTAAAGTAAAAAGTAAAGTAAAGTAAAAAATAAAATAAAATAAAATAAAACAAAACGTAACGTAACGTAACGTAACGTAACGTAACGTAACGTAACGTAACGTAACAA